CGTAAGAAGCTTGCTAATATCAAAACAACTTCAAGGTAAAAATCCCTCATTAAAAAAAACTTCAACATAAAAACTCTAAAAAATAGTATGACGCCTAAGCATCTTGATTAAACTGCAAAACGCCAAACTTACCCTTTGTCTAAGAGCTTTTAAATTTTCATAAGAACCGTCCAACGCTGGAAATATCTTAGCAAAACTTTGCTAAAACAAATACAAAATGAAGAACCGCGTGGGTTAAAGAAATAGATTCAAACTAAAAGTTAATAAATCACCCTGAGTTTATCGTACGACACAATTATTGGTTTAGCCGGCTCTGGGCCACTAGGCCAGGGGATTTTCTAAACATCTTTGGAATTTGATCCAACTTCTAAGCACAAAGCTTACTCCCAACCAAACAGCACCAGCAATTAAACAGAAAAGAAAACGCAAACCTTGTTAAATATGTAAATATTAAAAAGAACTTAATGTTGTGGCATAAGCGTTTGGTTCATCAAAAGGTTATAAAGAAAATTTATATTTTTGTCTCAGTAAACAAAAATGAATATTGTCAAATTTCCGGCAAAATATACACAGAAAATAGAACACATAATTTCTAATACAATATCTTTTCGTAATAAATGAAAATACATTGCATATACGGAATAGAAAAGGGTATAAAAAGGAGTGATTCTTCCCCAAATCAACAGCTACTATTCAGGGAGTGCTAAGGAATGCACTAATGCGTTGTTGGGGCATCCTTACACAACTTTTGTTTTATTCCTGTGCCATATAATAATCGTAAAATAGTACGATATATTTGATTGTCCTAAAATTATTAATAAAATTTATTTATTGAATTTTTACGAATAATTATTTTATTTCTAAATGAGAACAAAATAATAAACAAACAACCAGCATGTTCTAAATTTATTAATTGCTATCGACCTGAATAACTTAAAACCTCAATAATTTTCAAGGCAACAATAAATAAATATTATGGATCATTTCAACGCTGAAATTAATGTCTACCTGCATAATATGCACTGCATGTAATTTTATTTCACTGCGACGTTTTATATTGTTCCATCCTGATTTAAATTTAGGCAAATACAACATTTTAATTAGGAAATTAATAAAAAGTTTAGCTAATGTATCAAGTTCCAATTATTTGAGACGATGCATTTCCCATTTAAATAACATAGGGTATCGGCACGTTTTACATTTAATTTTTTTCTTCCGACCGAGTTAATATACAGCAATAAGAGACACATATTTTCATAGAAAATAGAACGCTGTACTAAAAAGCTCTCATATGATTTTTCGATAAATTCACTGGTTTAAAAGTTATTTAAGGTTAAAGTTAAACTTAGTAACTTAGAAATTTTTTCGATTTTTTTTTAATTTGACTGCAAAATTATCATTATTTTTTTGAAATTGAATTGTTTATTTTTGAAAATATATTATTTTATTGTATTATTGAGAAAGTAAAAAATTATGAAAAGAGATAAGTGAAAATTATTGACAAGATATTCCGATAAATTAAAATTTTTGTACCTATTACATTAAAAGAAGTACGATTACTTTTTTTTACATAATCTTTTAATTACTATAAAATTTTACAAAATTTTATACGATTTTATAAAATATTATACAATGAAAAATTTTCCTTTAGCTGTTGCTAATGACGTAGAAATTCTTTTAACAATTATTTTTGTAAAAAAAGTAATGGTACTAAAATTGAGTAAAACTAGTACCAGATTAGTTTAATGCAATAAAAACAAAATTATTTTATCGGAATCTCTTGTCAATAATTTTCACTTATCTCTTTTCAATAATTTTTACTTTTTCATGAACAATAGGTGCAATAATACAATAAAATCACATATTTTCAAAAATGAACCATTCATTTACATAAAAAATAATGATAATTTTGCAGTCAAAGTAAAAAAATCGAAAAAATTATTATAAGTTTAACTTTAACCTTAAATAACTTTTAAACCAGTGAATTTATCAAAAAATCATAAGAAAGCTTCTTTGTACAGCGCTGCAGCGTTCAATTTCCTTTGTATTGCTGTATAGTATACTACAGTGTATACTAACTTTGGAAAGGTTTAATATGAATATAAAGGGCTTTTATGAGTCTGATACACTTTTTTAGATCACAAACTAAAAATTTAGGGGGCGCTGCGAAAAAAAAACCAAGTTGGTAAATAACAGAATAATCATATGATTATGTACAGTAACAGTAAACTTAAATTCAACAGTAAATAATTATAAGAACTTGCTAATGCAGATGGAATTCTTGACGGATAAAGTTACATTTAAAATACAAAAATTAAGACTTAATCTACTTTTATCCAACAAACAAGCAAACAAATAAAGAAACAAACTAAAAATTAAAACGAGGAGCATCAACACGAGAGATTAGAATTCTCTACTTGATGTATTATTAATCTAATGGTATTTATATATATACCTATTTATTTATATTATATGTTGGTTGTGGTCGCAGTAAAGAGATATTGTGTGGTTTTTAAGGGTTTGTAGGATGTACCTTCCTTTCAGAGTTCTCTTTCAGAAAATACGTTAAATGTCGTTTGAGTTGAGATTGTTGTTGTTGCTTTATCCAAATAAATATCATTATTGTTTATTATAAATTTTAGTGTTTTATACGTTTAACTTACTCCCATAACCCTCATTTTGGAAGGTTTTATGAGAGATAATTATATAAAAATAAACAGGAGCCTTCCGGGTCCTGGACCTGAGTTCAAACGTGATTTATTTTCTTTTATTTACTGTATTTATTATTTCCATTTTAATACTTTCCCCATGAATACAACACCTCAAAAGTACCCTACATTTGCCGTGGTCTAATATTTCACTTTATCACTTGGGGTGTCTTTCACAGATTCTTTGCTGGGGGGGTTTGTACGCTTACAATGTACAAAAAAACTAATTTAAAAAAATTGGTGGGTAGGTCTAGTGACCCCCTTGCGTCCCTAGAAATTTTTAACCTATTTTTGGTGCTTACATATTTTTCAATGAAGCTCACGGTTTAAAAAAAAAATCCCGTCCTAAATAAATATGCATCACAAAAATCCAAATTAAAAACAATTTAAACTTACCTGGCAAAAACAAACTTTTTACTCATGGTTAAAAATAAATGTTTATTTTCAAATAAAATAAGCAATACCTAAAATAAATGTAGCATTTTTTTTTAATTGATTAATTAAAAAGTAAAATTAATGGTGTACCTAGGTATAAAACATTTAAAACACCAAATAATATTACGTTGGATTTGCGTAGTCAAAATAGATTTCGACGAAAAATATGGCAACAAATGAATGTATGATAAAAAGTTGGAATTTTATTAGGTTTAAACCTACAATTGTGTTAGGTTGGTGTTAAAAATGTCAATGCAAAGTAGTCCCCATTTTATGAACAATAAACCAAAAATTTAAGTCTATTTAAGTCCATTGAGTTTTCAGTTGTGAACACAAAAATATCATTACATTTGTGTTGATTGTGAAGCATGTTTTGGTTCAAACCAACGAAAATATTTTGCGTCGACTGAGCGTTGAAATTAACTGCTACAACTTAAAAGTAACGCTAAATTAAAAATTTCCAATGACATCTATGGAGTTAAACACTAAATCAACGCAAAATCAAAGATATTTTACTATTCAACGATTTTGGGGTTAGATCGAATAATGCCAAAGGACCTTCTTTTTGGCTCTGACTATACTTCCTAGAAATATTTTACCCTTTTTTTTAATACTTTGTATATATATAATAGCAATTGTTTTAATTCATATTTTCTTAATACTAGAAGAACAAAAATACGAGGTGTGTTCAGAAAATATCGGACATTTTCGTTTTTTGAAACAAATATTTATTTATGCGTGTACATTAATGTTGTCGCCTTCAAAATAGTAACCATTGGATATTATGCACATGTGCCAGCTCTTCTTCCAATACTCGAAACACTTCTAAAACTCGATTTTTGAGATAGCCTTTAGTTCTTTCAGCGATGCGCTTTTAATGTCATCTATGCTTGCAAAACGACGGCCCTTTAAGGTTCTCTTTATTTTTGGGAATAGGAAAAAGTCAGAAAGAGGCATGTCTGGCGAATATGGAGGCTGGGGCATCATTACAGTATTGTTTTTGGCCGAAAATTTTGTTCAAAATTTAATAATTTTGGAACAAATTTAGCTGTCACGCGTTTCATATCCAAAACATTTGAAAAAATTTCATGGGATGAGCCAATCGATATACCAACATCATCAGCGACTTCTCTGATGGTTTATAACCATTTCTTCCACTTTTTCCATGTTTTTATCGGTTGTTAATGTGCTTGTGCGTTCGGGGCCTTCGTCATCTTCAACGTCTTCACGGCCATCTTGGAAACTCTTATACCACTTGTAAACTCTTGTTTTACTTATAGCAGACTCACTATAGGCCTTTGTTAACATTTCACAGAATTTATTTCATTTTTTAAGCAAAATTGGATACAAATGGATTAAAGACCATTTCTTTTAACGAACGAAAATCGCCGAGCTCAAAACACGTCTAACCTTAGCGGCTGCCACAGACAAAGTAAACAATGAAAACAGCCAAAGTTTTTATCATACCTCGGGGGCGTGTATACCAACATAATAAATAAAATTTTATGACAACCGGACCCTCCGAACCCGCGAAATTTAACAATTTCCGTTATTTTCTGAACACACCTCGTATATGAAAATAATCCTATACTTATACTAAAATAATACATTCTTGCTATAAAAGTTGAACAAATCTTATAAATTAATTAATTATCTTAAAAGATGAACAAAGCAACGGTGCCTTTTTAAAAATGACATCCTTGTGTAAAAAATCTTGGCGTTAGCCTTCCGTTTCTTTAAACTTTTCACTTTCAATGCTAGAACAAGATTATGCCGTTGACTCCTTTACTCAATGATATTGTGGTTATCGCGTTATCACAAAGTAGGCCGAGTGCTGCGGGAAAGTGAGATGCGCCGGGCCAAGGTAACGCGATTTGATCCAAGCTGCGCAATTTCGATCGACTGCGGGACCTGCGAGATCCTTAAGCAGAATGACATAACACAACAAATAAACCAAATGGGGGACAGCAAATATTAAAACGGATGCATGAGTGCAAGTGCATCCCAAAATTATATACAAATTTCGGCGAACGGAGTGAGGGAAACACGGCGCGCTGAATAAAAAGTTCGCGACAATAAGACTTGTGCTTGTATTAGTCTTAAACATGTCGCGGATATTTACGCTTTTTGTGTCTATTTTACAAGTAAACGGATTTATTCTTGAACGAAGTGGTGGTTTTCCAAAGTTTCCCATTGATTCGTGCGGTAGCAGATCAGTTTTTTGGCATCCTGAACGCGAACCTAGAGTTGTAGGGGGTGAAGAACCGCCCTACGGTGCTATACCATGGCAAGTGGAGCTTAAAATTGGTACTACACATCAATGTGGAGGCGCCTTAATCTCAAGAAGACTAGTTTTAACCGCAGCGCACTGTGTCGTCGATGGTTTATCTATAGTTGCTGGAGCACATGGCCCTATAGGTTCAGCACCATTCGAGCAAACTATAAAAGTAGAGAAAGCTATAGCACATCCAGATTTTCGAAAACTGGGACCATACAGCCACGACATAGCGGTCCTACTTTTGGCCTCTCCAGGAGTCAAATTAAACAGCTTAGTAAAACCTGCATGTTTCGCATACGAATCTCCACCCCCTGGAACATGGTGCGAGGTGTCTGGATGGGGTGCAAGTGACCCCTTAGCTCCAGAAAGACTTTCTCCTGTACTTAAATCAGCAGCCGTCCCTGTGTTATCGCTAGAAACTTGCAGGAAAGATGGCATTTACGGTGGACGTCAACAACCTATCTTAGACTCTATGTTATGCGCTGGGCATCTTAAGGGTGGTATCGACGCATGCGGGGGCGACTCTGGTGGACCACTGGTCTGCGAAAAAGATGGCAGGCATGAATTAACCGGGATAGTCTCATGGGGTGATGGTTGTGCCAAAAAAGACAGACCTGGTGTTTATACAAGGGTTTCCAGCTTTTTGCCCTGGATAAGAGAGTGTGCTGACGACCTAGGAGTGGATAACGATTTTTGACAAAGTCAAATTTATTTTTTAAAGAGCATTTATATTAAATGATAATTTTATTTACCTGTGGTACGAATGTTAATATGTGGTTATATTAACTTATTAAAGATTATTTATATGATTTTTGCTAATAAATATGTATAATATATCTTTATGTTTTATTTATATAAAAAATATAAAATTTTGACCACATTTTTAAACTAATATTTAAAAATATATACTGGGTAAAAAATATGGCCGTTTACAAATTAATAAAGGTAAAATTACACTTTTGGATCAATTTTTAAATCGAGAACTTTCTGAATTGTTTTATGTAGAAGCTGGAAAGGTTTTTAACTTATACCTTTTTAATGGCCAATCTAATGAAATTTCTCTGCACATATTAAATTCCTTCCAACTAATAATGCCTATAAGAAATTAATTTAAATTATTTTCCAATTTATAAATAGTTTTTTAATTATAAAAATGTATTTAATAAATTAGACGTAGATTAATAAATTTTGCAAAATTTTACATTATTGTTAAAAAGCGTTTCAACTTAAATTCTTGTTTCAATCAGGATTTAAGGAATCCAAACCAATAAAATAAATTCTTTATTGCTTTATGCTCTTAATCGAAAGTATGTAAGAAAGTGTTTTCTTATATTACGTAACGTGGCAATATAGCTTTCTTGCTGAAATACTAGTTTTTTAATATACAATCATCTTCAATGCATAATACTTAATAATTACATACCAACTTGGTTAAGTACACTTAAGTACATATCTAAGGCTTAAGTTTCACTTTCCTTTGTTATTTAGTTATTTAGACCAGACATCTCGTCCACACGCAAAATTTGCCTCGCGATAAAAATTTTAAGATTAAATATTAACCTTGAAAAAAAATTAAATCTAATGATCTCCGGTCAACTAACTTAAATGTAAACATATTTATACAGTCTGTTAGTTAAAGTTGCAAACAAATTTTTGCACATGTTGTCCAAAAAGATTTTACAAAATCTTGATCCCTATTTATAAAAAATGGCTTTTTGAAGGAGTTTCTAGGGCTTCCGATAAAATTAATTTATTTCACTTCTGAATAAGGTCTCAATATTTTACTGAAAAACTAGTTTTTACCTCCACTTTATGATTTATTGGTAAATTATTAATATTCTTAATTTTTTTATAATATTGCATTTTAAAATATATCGAAACATGTCGAATTAAACTAGATTTAATAAAGCATTTTCTCCCGGAAATTGAAATTTATCGTAAACTTTTTGGCTAATGGGCGCGTGGCATTTAAATTTGTTTGTAAACAAAATTTTTATGCATGCATGCAGAAGATAAAAATTGAAAGTGTAAATCGAAAGTTTTTTGCCAATTTTATTAAAATATTTATCCTGTTCAATAAATTATTAACTAATTTGATTTTATTAAGGTGTTATCAATATTATAACCAGTTCGTTCCGCTTATTGTTCTATTATTCCACTGACATAAATAATGGATAGATTAATATAGGTATATTACTTAATTAAGTGTTGTGAATTCTTCTATTACGTATTTTAAACTGTTTGTATTTGTTTTAGTAATCGTACAGGTAATTTTGAATAAGGTGACATCAGATTTTTTTAATAATGATATTTGTACATCAAATAATTTATTAAAATTAATATGTAATTAATATGTATTAGCTAAACGTAAATTAAATTTTTGGTCGTAGATTACAAATCCTTGATTTAGCTGTATCAGTTCAAAATCACATCAGTTAAATTTAAAAAAAAAGACAAATTTTTGTAAAAATTTGAGGTAAATTGATCAAAGGAATAAGTGTCCCTGAGGGTTTTTTTTTAGATAATTTTGGAAATTCAAAATGCTGTTTTTTTATTGAGAATAATTGAGGATATTATATTATATTAAACGAAAATAAAAAGTATGGGAATTTTGGCACAAAAGGTGAAATATATTATTTGAAAAATTATAATATAGGTACCAGTAAACAGTATGCCCCCGGATCGGATTACCAATAGGAAAAACTTGTTTATACCCAATACAGCTAAACCACAGTGTTATTTAACTAATACATATTAATTACGTATTAATTTTATGTATAAATATCAATATTAAAAAAATCTGATGTCACCTTATTCAAAATTGCCCGTTAAAAGTGCAAGTTTCAGTTTTTTCTATGACATGTCAAATCTACACTATAGTGTATACACTAAGACAAATACATAGATATATTTATTTTATAGGGTTATAATTAAGTGCGTTTAAAAATGTAGTAAAAATAAGAAAAAATGTCGATGGTACTCAGAGCTGGACACGAGTACTAAAAAAAGTATTCGTAAAATTTTAAGTACGAGTACTTAAAATATTTACTCTTAAGTACATTTGTAAAGAGAGGTTACGGTTACGAGTAGTAATCGTGAAAACACGAGTAAAGAGTACGAGTACTTTTGAAAAAAAAATAGTTAATATAATTGATTATTCTCTATACATTATACATACTTTGGTCCTGAGCTAAAATAATTAAAAATAACAATTTTTAAATAGTTTATAATTTTACCGATATACCTGTTATATAACCTATAGGCTATAATATATAATATTATACTATATCATATTATAATATACTATATAGTATATATTATATAAATTAAAACCGACTTCCAAAGAAAATGTTTTGATGCTTACGATATTTTGGTAAAAAGTCATCAATATAATAAACGGAAATATTCGTATATATTACTCGAGTATTTTTTACGAGTACAATGAATTTGGTTTGTAAGTACGAGGAAGTATTTCAAATGAAAAATATTTATGAGTAAAAAAGTACTCGTACTTTTTACTTGTAATTGAAATACGAGTAAAAGTACTCAGTACTTGGCCAGCTCTGATGGTACTGTATAAAAAAACAATCCGTGAATGTTATTTAGAAAATTTTGACAATTGATAAGGTTAAGCAAGTTCGTTATTCTTCTGATGATTTATTCATTAAACATTCCTTTTCAAACAGAAAAACAAAACATTTATTCAAAATTTGCTTCATTCTAATGTCTCGAAACCAACGAAATCAAAGTGTTACAAGACCATTTAGCAAATCTAAAAAAAAAGACAAGTCGTTATCTGTGCCTCTTTGACTTCGTGGAAATTCAACTCCTCATACTGAGTACCGACTTTATAGTATGCCGCCGTTAATTATTTTACTAGCTGAAAATGGTGACAGACCTACACGAATTTTTTTACCCCATTGTGCGTAATCCGTTGCGGCGTTCACCAAAATTCTGACAGACGCAAGGGACAAAACAACAAAGAGAATCAAAACCAAACAACCGGTCAACGATATCCCTGCAGACATTCCAGCCAAAATCGATGATAAAAACTAATTTAAGCGTCTCTACAACTAACACCACAGAGACGAATATCAACTTGAATATAAGAAACTAAGAGGTGAAATCCAACAAAAACTGCAGGAGTACTGCGATCGGGTGTGGGGCAACACAATCAGAAGTCTAAAAGCGTCAGACAATAGCCTCTGGAAGCTAGCTCGCAAGTTAAAGCCGAAAAACTTGCACTTCCCAACAATTATAACCGGTAACACCGAGTACACCTCTAACCAAGAGAAGGCAAAGGCTATTGCCAGATGCTTTCATGACATAACCAACACCGACACTGAAAACCTAACCCCTGAACAACAAGACACAGCGACTCGTTTCAAAGCTGAGTAGATTCCTAACAAGCCCCAGCAAACTTAAACACATCATAAGTGAACTGTCCAACAACAAAGCACCTGGGCAAGATGGTCTGGACAACATTTTACTCAAAATCATGCTGAGAAAGGTGTTAGTTCAGCTAATATTCATAATATATACGTGCATAATCAAATCCTACTATTCAGCAGCATGGAAACATGCTGACATAGTACTCAACCATAAACCCGGCAAGGATTCTTCCCTCCCTACCAGCTTCCGTCCAATTAGTCTAGTTAGCAACCACTCCAAGGTTGCCGAACGCGCTATACTATCATCAATAAACTTGGTAAATCCTTTCAAATCACACCTCCCGAGCAATTTGAATTTCGTCCTGGGTTAAGCACCGTTCACCAAGGAGGCTTATAACAGTAAAAAGGGCACTGTTATGGCCCTCATTAACGTCAAAAAGTCATTCGAAATGGTCTGGCTGGAGCTACTCACTGCTAAGCCAATTTCATTTAATTTTCCAAACCAAATTGTTAAACTGATCCACTCATTCCTGTCTGACAGGACCTTCCAGGTATCTGTCAACCAGACTAAATCCCAACCTTATTGAATCCGAGCGGGTGTCCCTCAAGGCACCGTCATAGCCTCTAAGCTGTATACACTGTATATCCCTAAGTCCATGCACGTCAAGATCGGTCTCTTCGCCGACGCTCCTAAAATATTTCGCCAAGTGGAAAATAAACATCAACCACAGTAAAACTGAACTGGTGAATTTCTCGGTGAAATTCACTAACAACAAAATATTCTCACCAAAAACGCTGAATGGAATATCTTGGCATCATATTTGACAGCAGCTTGTTTTTCGCTCCGCATCTTAAATCACTTAAGCAAAAGGCGTACAACGCAATTAAGTCAATTTACGCGCTATTTAATAAAAATAGCCCGCTATTGCTGCACAACAAATTGATTTTATATAAGACGCTTATCACACCTGTAATAACCTACGCCCAGTCTGGTGCTCCGCACCAAATACGCAATTATCCCAATTACAGCGCATTTAAAATAAATCCCTGCACCATGTCACCATCAGCAGAAGGTACGACATGACATTGTCAATTTGAAAACCTGCACCAAATGGCTGACATAGAAATGATCAAGGACTACATTTACCGACAAGCAAACAACTTTTACACGCACAAAATAAAAAAAAGCCCGCTTACCAGTGGCATTACTGCATAAGACATTTAGACAATATTTTGTACAAGCATCGCCTAATTTATGGTAAATTATTCATCTTTTACACCTCAAACAAAAACCCAGCATACTGCTCCCATATAAGCGCACTTTTCCGACTGTCGCTACCTGACGTGAGGATTTTAGTAGCCATACGTTTATCTAGAATATCACACCCAGACGGGCGACTTCCCCTGGCCGCTGTGGCCGACGATAGGACTCCAGTCGCCACACCTTTGTTTTCAGTGAGGGCTTGGTGGTGATGGCCTACACGAATTTTTTTACCCCATTGTGCGTAATCCGTTGCGGCGTTCACCAAAATTCTGACAGACGCAAGGGACAAAACAACAAAGAGAATCAAAACCAAACAACCGGTCAACGATATCCCTGCAGACATTCCAGCCAAAATCGATGATAAAAACTAATTTAAGCGTCTCTACAACTAACACCACAGAGACGAATATTAACTTGAATATAAGAAACTAAGAGGCGAAATCCAACAAGAACTGCAGGAGTACTGCGATCGGGTGTGGGGCAACACAATCAGAAGTCCAAAAGCGTCAGACAATAGCCTCTGGAAGCTAGCTCGCAAGTTAAAGCCGAAAAACTTGCACTTCCCAACAATTATAACCGGTAACACCAAATACACCTCTAACCAAGAGAAGGCAAAGGCTATTGCCAGATGCTTTCATGACATAACCAACACCGACACTGCAAACCTAACCCCTGAACAACAAGACATCAGAGACACAGCGACTCGTTTCAAAGCTGACAGTAGATTCCTAAGCCCCAGCAAACTTAAACACATCATAAGTAAACTGTCCAACAACAAAGCACCTGGGCAAGATGGTCTGGACAACATTTTACTCAAAATCCTTCCTGGGTTAAGCACCGTTCACCAAGGAGGCTTATAACAGTGGAAAGGGCACTGTTATGGCCCTCATTAACGTCAAAAAGGCATTCGAAATGGTCTTGACGTGCATGGACTTAGGGATATACAGTGTATACAGCTTAGGGGCTATGACGGTGCCTTGAGGAACACCAGCTCGGATTTAATAAGGTTGGGATTTAGTCTGGTTAGTCTCTTCGCCGACGCTCCTAAAATATTTCGCCAAGTGGAAAATAAACATCAACCACAGTAAAACTGAACTGGTGAATTTCTCGGTGAAATTCACTAACAACAAAATATTCTCACCAAAAACGCTGAATGGAATATCTTGGCATCATATTTCACAGCAGCTTGTTTTTCGCTCCGCATCTTAAATCACTTAAGCAAAAGGCGTACAACGCAATTAAGTCAATTTACGCGCTATTGCTGCACAACAAATTGATTTTATATAAGACGCTTATCACACCTGTAATAACCTACGCCCAGTCTGGTGCTCCGCACCAAATACGCAATTATCCCAATTACAGCGCATTCAAAATAAATCCCTGCGCCATGTCACCATCAGCAGAAGGTACGACATGACATTGTCAATTTGACAACCTGCACCAAATGGCTGACATAGAAATGATCAAGGACTACATTTACCGACAAGCAAACAACTTTTACACGCACAAAATCAAAAAAAAGCCCGCTTACCAGTGGCATTACTGCATAAGACATTTAGACAATATTTTGTACAAGCATCGCCTAATTTATGGTAAATTATTCATCTTTTACACCTCAAACAAAAATCCAGCATACTGCTCCCATATAAGCGCACTTTTCCGGCTGTCGCTACCTGACGTGAGGATTTTAGTAGCCATACCTTTATCTAGAATATCACACCCAGACGGGCGACTTCCCCTGGCCGCTGTGGCCGACGATAGGACTCCAGTCGCCACACCTTTGTTTTCAGTGAGGGCTTGGTGGTGGTGAAGTTTTGCATGTGATATAATAAAGTTAATACGCAGGTATTTTACACTTTTACATATTCAATATTGTTGCTGGACAAATATGTAGTCTGTCTAGATTTAAAATGCTGTATTTAGCGTACCTAAAGTCACCCAAAAATGTTTTTTGTACTTTTGGACGTTCTACTCGAAGACAAGAGCCACATAAAGATATGAAAATGGAAGCACGTGGTTTATAAACTATCTAGACCTCTAAACGATTAGTAGTAGAAGTCAGTGAAAAGAAAATATTCCTTGAGAAGATCTATTGCTGAATTTTTGTCGCCCATCGCGAATTTAAAAAAGATTTATACAAATTATGTGTTTAAATAAAACCTAAATAGAAACCTGGGTTTTGTGGATCTTTTTGATAATTATTATTAATTATATTATACATTAATATTAATTATAACAATAATAAAGTTTTTATTTATTGTCAGATAAAATGTACATAAAAGAAAAATGTAATACATTACTATGACAATAAAAAAGAGCTAAAAGGCAGTTAAAAACTGATAGAATTTTAGCCCTCAGATAATCCAATTAATAATTTACAAAAAAAACATAATAATAATTCTTTCAAAAGTAAGTGATACTTTAAAGATTGAATTTTGCAGAGTTTATATGATTCTGGTAGGGAATTGTATAGCGTATAGATGTTGTAAGCAAATGACCGTCTAAAAATGGCTGTACGATGTGGAGGTGGCGAAATTAGACCCCTAAATCTTAGATTTAAGGTATGAACATCTGTACGAAATGTTATCTTATTATATAAGTACATAGGTGTTTTGTTTAGTATAATAGTTTGATATTGTACAACTGCATGTAGTTTCCGCTTGTTTTCCATACTTAACCATCGCGTTTCTTTAAGTTTATATGATATCTGTTCATATTTACGTATACCGTATATGTTTCTGTACTTTTTGGATTCTCTCAATATTAATTTTGTCTAGACAGGGACCATATACTCGTACAGTATCACAGTAGCTGTAGTGACTTAAGACCAGTGAATCAGTTAGTTTAACTTTAAGATCTTTGGATAGAACATGTCGATGTGGGTAAAGTAATTTGAGACTCGAATATGCTTTTTTGAAACAATTATTAATATGATCATTAAATCTCAGTGTTGTATCCATTAATATACCCAGGTTCCTTGCAGTTTTAGTAAATTCCAAATCACTGCCATCCACTGTGATCTGCATACGGTCCTTCAAGTCCTCCCTATTCCTTCCAAATAACAAAATTGATGACTTCTGAGGATTAACAATTAGTTGGTGTTGGTGTGTCAACATCACTTGGAAAAAATGAGTATTTTAGCTGGGTATCATCTGCATAAAAATAGGATTTGCAACTGGTTATAGATTTATCTGTCGAACACCACAGTTAATAAATATGTTAACATACTATAACAGCAAGCTAGGTTGTTATAGAACTTATTTTAGCGGGTAGAATAATTTTTAATTAATTGTTCGAGCAGACGATCTATTGTTGCATTTTAGCTCCTCCTATGACGGCGTCCTGTCGCACACTTTGCACCGCTCTAGGGACGCCCCTGTTACTTATTATACATTTTGCAAAAACTATAATTAAATTTAAACCTTCTAGCAAATTTTGATTAACGGTTATAAGTTTGGTTTAGCACCTGAAAATACATAAATAGATATTTTTCCTTACCTTAAATAGTATAGATATCTTAATATACCTTAAATTTACGAATGAAAATGCGGTAAATAATAGGGTAAATGTTTGGTGAATAATTTATTTTATAAAGTAAATACCTTTATACAGAAAATGATTACAGACATAAGATAATAATAATAATAATAATAGTAATATGTATTGTACTAAACGCTATATATATAGATTTATATATATATTATTGCTTCCTAAGTACTAAGACTAGCTTTAGTTTAGTGCCGTTCTTCAGGAACGGGGGCGATAAGTCTCTGCAGACTGAGGTATTCGTTGCCCGAACGAGGCCTTAAGGTACAACTGGGCGGAGGGGGGGCCATCGCATCGCCCGAACTGTGCGAAGATGACAAAGACAAAGTCTCAAAGTAGTCTGACATGTCCGAAGTTCCACTGCTTGTTGAACCGGACGGACACACCGGAACTTCGGCTTCCGCACTGGCCGATTTCCCTTCCACCTTGTTGAATTGGAAACTTAAATCGCGAAGGGGATCCGAAGATTTTGATCTGCGCGGAAGAGTGGAATTTGTCGAACAAATTGCCATCTTTCTTGGCAATTCAAACACACCGGAATCGTTGGAGCTGGAGGAGTCTCTGTTGGACTTGCATGGGACAGAAGATGACCTTCTGACTGCAATGGATTGTTGTGAGCACTGGCATGGGGATGGCGTTGCGATTTCCGGTTCAGGCTCGGCTTCCGGTTCGCACCTACTAGTACTGGAGTCGGCAGAATTCGATCTCTTTCTTTTCATTTCCAAATTATCTGTGGAATCCAAAATATGTCTTCTTTGGTACACATTTGCATGCAACATCGAAGATCCTGAAGGTTTATTAGATCTATCCAATGCCGGTCCCAAGTTGGGATTACTGTTTGATAGTACTTTACCCAAACGTTGTTTTACAGCCGGCGACATTGGAATGTATCCTGGATGAGGTTGTTGAGGCTTATTAAATGGCTCCATCATCAAATAATCATCTTGTGCGTGCCCACATTTATGACACAACGCTTTTGCCTTATCCGCAATCTCCTTACTATTTTCATAAAGTTGCAACGTCTGAGCAAAACCCATGTTCTCATAATTGTTAGTCTTTCCTGGAGCAACAGTCATTGTTTGATTCATCGGCGCCAAGTTGGCGTAATTGTTGCCGACAGGTTGATTTCGATGCGCCTTTTTGCTATAATCTACGGTGGCGTAGACGGCGTGCGCGTCCTCCGGCGCCGACCAACAGGACATCAGGCGCTGACAGACGCACGGTCTTTCTGGCTCCGGTTGCTTGAGGCGCACCACGCAACCGCACGCCTTTTGAATGGTGTCGAAACCGTAAGCTGCGACGCACTCTTTTAATTTCCTCGGCGTGTCGTAATGCTCATCGGCTTTTGGTTCCTAAAACAACATTAATTAGTTTCGATTGACTGGAGTAAAGGTTTTCTCTTACCACTGGATATGGGATTTTGGGTATGTCGTAGTTATCGTAGGAAGACAGTGGCGGCGGTGCAGCCGGTTTCTTTGGCGATGGTGAGGACGCAGTAGGTTTTGGCGGTCGAGCTGGTGGTTTTGTAACCGCCTGACTCCATCCGCTGCTGTCCGAACTGCTGCTGATTGAATGTCTGTCGCAGGCATGTTCCCAACACGGTTCTCCAATTTTTACTGTTGCAGTGGATGATCTAATGCGATGCAAAAAATAAAAAGTTTCAAGAGAGAATCACATTCAATAAAATTAAATTTAAAAGTGATTATGTAATGAAGGATCAAGCTTACTGAATTGTCACTTCTTAAAATAATATTTTTGTAAATATATTGGTGATTTAATTACCTTGACATGGCTCCCAGTTTGCTGATGCAGCTCATGCATCGCTCTATGGATGGTTGATTCCAACCGTCATTCGATATGCTGTCCCCGCAACCGTAGTTACTTTCCAAGTCCGTATAGGGAGAATCAGCTCTTGAATTTAGCGAGGTTTCACTCAGTTCCAAAGCAACCCCTCCAGTGGATCTAAGAGCAGGTCTTCTTGGACTGTCCATTACTGAACAAATAAATAAATATTAAATGTTTTTATTGTTTTAGAATACATTTTCTTAAATGTAAAATTAATGTACTTAAAAGCATAATATAGAGTTTCCTTTTTACATTAGAGAAAAAGGATCCTCATCTAATGTAGTTTTGTTAATAAAATATAAGTCAAGCTATAATTTATTCTACAAAGATGAACAATCCCTTTTGCACTACTACACTAATGTTTCTCCTTTAATTTTCATTACTCGTGAATTATTAAAATGACAAACTTGCATTCTTAAAGAAAATATTTTCTAGAAAATATCTAGAAACCCTTCTGTAATAAAATAATAATAATAATTTTATAAGGTGCCACAATATACAATATACACAAGTCAAAAGATTTACAAAATAAATATAACCCATTAATAAAAATGGATCAAGAAAAAAATCTACTTAATCAATGGGCATTTTATTTGACCAACATTTAAAAACAATAAAATTGACTTATGAAAAATGATAAGTTTATTATATCATATCATATCTTCCAGCCTTTTGGGGGCATGTAGCAAAAAAGGACCTAAAGACTTTGCAAATAACTCAGAACAGACTTCTAAATCTTATATTTGACAAACCTTATCGAACCAGTACTACAGATTTATATAATGAATTAAATATATTAAACATTAATGAGGAGATAATGTTGGACAGTGTTAAAGTAGTGTACAAAATCAAAAATAACCTGATAAATACAACAATTAACTTAACTAAAAACTGTGACAAACACACATATAATACTAGAACAAACGAAAACTACCACATAGATCCAAACACCACCAAATTTGGAGAAAGGAGAATAACGCAATCTGCCCTGAAGTGGTTCAACATACTCCCTGAGACAACCAAAAACCAAAGAACAATAGAAGCCTTCTCTACATCAATTAAAAACTACTATATATCTGTAAGATAACACTGTGATAATTACAAGTACCTGAATGTTAAATTATATTAGTCTTATACTGTATTTGTTATATATAATATATATTATATATATATATACATATATATATATATATATATATATATATATATATATATATATATATATATATATATATATTATTTATGTTTTCTATTCATAGCACCTGTTATGGAATCTTGTATTCTTTTTGGGATATTAATAAATAAAATAAAAGATTCCGTCAAATCAAAACTATATCTAGTAATTCTTCTGACAAATTGCCAATGTCTTCCTTTTCGTAAAAAAACTTTCTAGAATCTACCTTCTTTAGAATAATATTTATTTTATATTGTGGTAATTTATACACTTTTGATATATAATATAGAAGGTGGACCAATGAAAAGTTTTCACCCCGGTGCTCGCACATATCGATTTTTGATTTAAGGGGGACAATTTATTTTTATATTTTCAACCCCTAAATGTGGGTGCCTTATTGTAAAATTATTTTTAACCTGATTATAAAGTTTAAAGTCGCTGCTATTCATCCCCGTTGATATGACAGATTGTCAAAATCTTGGAAAATGTGTCTGGTTGTAGTTAATAATTATAATTAATTAATCACAAGAGCTAGCGACTTCAAACTTGGTGTATATAATGAGGGTAAGAAGATCTTTAAAATAAAGCTTCACTCAATCCTTCTCACAGTTGTGAGTTTCACCACTAATATTTTAAATGATAAAAAGGGTCGAGTGATACCTTATTTTGAAGGTCACCAAGTTGAAAATGGCTAGCTCTTATGGTTAATTGTTTATTAATTAAAGAACGACACATTTTCAAAGATTTTAAGCTGTCATATCAACGAAGATGATAGCAGCGACTTCAAACTTGGAGGCAAAAATAACTTTACTCGACTCCTCTACCCATTACAAATGTTGGGGGTATCTATCACCCACGCATAGGAGTTGACCTTTAGGGGTAAAAAATATAAAAACAAATTGTCCCCTGAAAAAAAAATCGATGTGACGAGCGTTTTTTGATTTTTTTACGTAACACCTGAGAACGCCAAGGTAAAAACTTTCTTCACCCTGTATATAAATTACCCCAATAAAAATATTTTTTTAAAGAAGATAGATCCTAAAAAGTTTTCTTTTCACCAGTTACTGTAATATGTAACTATAGTAAATATAACTGTTCTAGTAACTGGTGAAAATAAAATGTTTTAGGATCTATCTCCTTTGGAAAAATAATTATATTGAGGTAATTCATATACAGGGTGTCCAAAATGTGATGGGATAGTATTGCTATCTCGGTATCGGTTATAGTTGGAATAGGGCATCAAGAGTTCAAAAGTTGCGTAATTACATGCCTTTTAATATGGCATAGAAGATTGCAAAAAAAAATCAGCGGTTCTCAAAATATTAAAAAAATATCAAAATCGGTTAAAACTTATTATCGCTATAACTTTTTTATTTCTAGGAATTTTAAAATACTGAAAGGTTTACATTAAAACATATAAAATTACATACATTTTGATCCAATTTGTGTATTTTTACGCCAACTAGATTTTGAGATACGGCTACTATCTTTTGTTTCTCCTATGGCCGCCATATGTGGCCATATCTCAGAATCTAGTAGGCGTAAAAATACACAAAAAGGATCAAAACGTATGTAATTGTGTATGTTTTCATGTAAACCTTTCAGTTTTTCAAAATTTCTATAAATAAAAAAATAATAGCGATAATAAGTTTTAACCAATTTTCAGTTTATTTCAAATATTTTGAGAACCGCTGATTTTGTGTGCAATCTTCAGATGTCATAATAAAAGGCATGTAATTACGCAACTTTTGAACCCTTGATGCCCTATTCCATCTGTAACCGTTTCCGAGATAGCAATGCTATCCCATCACATTTTGGACACCCTGTATAAATATTGAATGGGCATACAATCGTCTTAAGAATTCAAGACTTTTTTATCAATTTTATTGTATCATACCTGACATGTTTCTTGAAACAGGTCTTCTTCTAGAAGCATGCAGTTGTCCTGTGGCGGCTACTTTAAGGGTAGAAGCAATCTCCTCCCCTTGATCAGTCAACAATATATACAACCCTTCTCCTTTTAGGCATCGTGATCCGCCCTCGAAGCAAAATTTGCCTTCAACAACGCCATAACGTCTTAGGTGGCTGATTAGCCATTGACCAGCCACCCTGGGTGGTACACCAGTTGTTAAACAGAATCCACGTTCTTGAACATGGAGTCTGGCCGGACCTGGTGGAAGCCTGGACTTTTGTGGAGCTGTTGATACTAACACTAAGAAGTGAGGACCGTCGCTTAAGTGGGAACTTAGTTTCACCTAAAATAATAATTATTTATCATTAATAAAGGTTTGTTTACTTTCAATTATTGTACATACTTCAAAATCGTATGAGAGGGTGTATAACTCATTTAATTGTATGCAAACAAAGGGGTGTTATTATACAATCAGAAATATAAACTATTTATACTTGGTTTTAAAGTTCTAGATTTACAATATACGAGATGTGTTCAGAAAATATCGGGAATTTTCGTTTTTTGAAACAAATATTTATTTATTCGTCTACATTAATGTTGTCGCCTTCAAAATAGTCCCCATTGGATATTATGCACATGTGCCAGCTCTTCTTCCAATTCTCGAAACACTTCTAAAACTCGATCTTTGGGATAGCCTTTAGTTCTTTCAGCGATGCGCTTTTAATGTCACCTATGCTTGCAAAACGACGGCCCTTTAAGGTTCTCTTTATTTTTGGGAATAGGAAAAAGTCAGACAGAGATATTTCTGGCGAATATGGAGGCTGGGGCATCATTACAGTATTGTTTTTGGCCAAAAATTTTGTTCAAAATTTAACAATTTTATAACAAATTTTGCTGCCACGCGTTTCATACCATCTCATAAGAGAATCGATATACCAACATCATCAGCGACTTCTCTGATAGATTATAACCATTTCTTCCACTTTTTCCATGTTTTTATCGGTTGTTAATGTGCTTGTGCGTTCGGGGCATTCGTCATCTTCAACGTCTTCACGGCCATCTTGGAAACTCTTATACCACTTGTAAACTCTTGTTTTATTTATAGCAGACTCACTATAGGCCTTTGTTAACATTTCACAGACTTTATTTAATTTTTTAAGCAAAATTGGATACACATTCTTTGATCCATTTCTTTTAACGAACGAAAAATCGCCGAGCTAATAAAACACGTCTAACCTTAGCGGCTGCCACAGACAAAGTAAACAATGAACACAGCTAAAGTTTTAATCATACTTCGGGGGCATGTATACCAACATAATAAAGAAAATTTTATGACAACCGGAGCCTCCGAACCCGCGAAATTTAACAATTCCCAATATTTTCTGAACACACCTAGTATTTTTATAATTTTATTTAAAGTGACTTAAAAATACATTCCATTAAAATAATTATTTGTTGAAGTATTTGTTTTATAGATCAAATTAAAAGCTGGTGAATTTATAAATCCTTACACGCTTGAAAAGGAACAATTTAAAATTTACTGTTGAAGGACAGAAAGATCGTATGGAACATTTTTATTGTTTCATAGGAATAACAAGAATTTTAATTTTTGCAAGCTTGTGTAATAGTAAAAGTTATAAAATTGTCTTGATTAATCCGTAAAAAGGTTATTTTGTAATATAATTTCATCCCACTACTGTTTTGTTCAGTTGCGACAATGAACTTATGTTTATTTAAGATACAAATAATTGTAATATTGTAAAACTAAGAGTAACAAAAAATTGTAACTTACCTGCCATTGCATCAGTCGTTCCCGATTGTCGAATGCCAGAACCACGACGATGTCCTGGCAAAGGATAGCTACCGTGTTCGATTCCTTATCTAATGTAAAACCAGTCTCAAGCCCCAAAAAATGTTCCAACGATAGCGATGCCTTCGTTTGACCCTGTTTGTATCTGTCTTTAGAGTCTCGGTAAAGCTGCAGATGTAAACAGTCTGAAAACAAAGAAAGACAAAAATTATTATCGATTTCTAAAACAGATTTTCTTGGATCTGTGGAGCCCATTCCAAACAAACAATTCAAAGTAACTCGCGAATATATCGCCTTCGATAAATTCGACACTAATGGAACCGTTGTCGGGTTAAGATTGAATCGGTGTGAAAATTATTTCCTGGAATTCCAACGAATTTATCGCAGCACCTGGTTCTTACTATCTAGAAAGACTTTACAATGTTCGTTTCTATAAATTTAAATAGTATAGTACATTCAAACCAAAATCATTTATGCATCGATAAATATAATGATTAATTTTTACATTACAAAATATTTGAATACTGAGCTACTCTTGTTTTAATTTTTTTGTTTTTTATTAAGTAATGGTTACAAATTCGTCTATGTATTTTATGGTTTTTGATTTTGATGATAACCTATATATATCATTGTTCATAGAGTTAAAATCATTGCCTATATAAGCTGTATACGGTCATTTAGTTTTTAAAAGCAGACATTACTTTTCAGAAACGATGTCATGTGGTCCTTTACAACGTGCATGCATGCATAATGGATTTTAATATGGAGGTTAAACAACCATTATACTTTGCTACCAGATTGCTGTTTGTTTAAGGCAAATTAGCTCGCAGATGTGCCTCTCGGGGAATACGTTTAGGATTTTTTGCCGGTGGCGTTATTTTTTCACCCCGCACCTCTCATTAGTTTTAGGCGCCCCATTTGTTACACTACACTCTTAGAAAAGACCTGGTATTTGCAATGAAAATTTAGTTCCCAGAACCAATTTTATTAGTGAAAATAGGCACAACAAAAAAATATGTTGTGGGAACTAATACAAATTTGTTTTTACAGTTTGTTGTCGGAACAGCCAATATTGGTAGCTCCAACCAACAAGTTTAAGTGCATCGAAATTAGTTTTTTTTTCATACAAATAATTGATATTTAATGCAATCACATTAGTCTGTCATTTTAGCAGCGTCTAAGTTGTAACAACTGCACTTGCTATTTATCGCAACAAACATTGTATCATGCAGGAATTTATTTTTTAATTGAAATTACATGAAAAAAGGTACATTTAAAGAATTTAATAGTTGATATAATATAAATTTGTTTTGTATTGTAACTAAGTTATATTTAATATTAAATGCTTGCACTAGTAGCAACAACAAATTGGTATTATTCCACAGTACATACCTGCTTAGTAAATATAACACTTTTTGTGTAAATATTATAAAAAATAGAGAAAGGAAATTCATGCCCGTTCGTTTTATAAATATTTATTATAAATTAAAAAATAACAATATAACTGAAAACACCAAATTTTGGTTTAAACATTATAACAAAAATTAATAATTACTATAAGAAAACATTTATAAATATTTTAACAATAAAACAAAAACGATTTTTTGGTAAATATACACAGATAGGTACATTAAGATGAAAGTTGACTATACTTCTTCAATAAACCGTGATGTTTACGTGAAGTGCAAGCCTTTGTTTAACAACTTAACAATGATTCTTAGGTACAACGTAACATACTTGCATGATAACAGGGGTAAGAATTCGAAATTCCGACGTGATGGAGACTTTTGGTGGGCACCATTGGATTCAGGAGGCCATTTTCAGTCGGAATGGCATTTTCACATTTTTGGATTTTTTTTCGGACCCCAAAACTACAATAGTGTAATTAAAGGAGTGCAATAATAATACCTAACCTTTAAAAACTGGAACCAATTCAGGTAAACCCCATGTTCCTAATAAATCTGCTAGGTACTTCAGTCCGCTTATCCATATTATTTGTTCGAGATATCTATAAGTAACCAACACATAAGAATATATTCTTATATATATGAATAGTTAAAAATTATGTCGCCACTGAATTTACAGGGGCAAATGACTAATTGTAATAAACTAGTTTCTTACCTAAAATATACACAACACACGAGCTGATACACAAATACAAAAGAACAAACACCACCGTCTGGACGCCGTGCAACACCGTTTGTTTACAGGTTAAAAGTAAAGCACGCGCCGGGCTGGACAAATCGCGCGCGAAATGCACAAAGTTTGCAGTTGCATTAACCTACAGAGACAACATCCCCAACTGACACTTTGTTTCACACCGCTGGTGTCTTAGCTGTATGAAAAGTGACGCATAGTTTATACAACCGAACCGTTAGTTCCACGGACTAATTTCAGTCAGTTGAGAATGTTACTTAAATATTTGGTCCAACAAAAACATTTTACCGCCGAAATGATTTTTTTGAGATAATGTTGTCAATACTTCTAGCCAACACAAAGTTTCAGTTAAAATAACTTAATCGCCTTTTTGCAGTAAATAATACTCCACAACAAAACTAAATCTTTTCAGGTAATGATGCAAGCAGTTACACATATAAAGGTACTGATTACAAAAAACAAAAAATGTTATTTTCTGCAACAGTTTTACCCCAACGATAATAAGTTAGTTACAAATACCAGGTCTTTTCTAAGAGTGTACTTTTAATTTTCCTTTCTAATAAAATTCTGATTTAACTATCTACCTACCATATTGGCCAAATCAATATGATAGATTTGCATCTATTCAATCCTTGGAATATTACTTATTAATTGGTAATTGTAAGTATACCTATATGATTTGGATGATGAAACTTTCACCATTTTAGTTAATATTTACCCTTTGCTTTTTATGTACATATTATATTCTTACAGCTTGATAAGTATAGTAAATAATAAAAAAAAAATCATGTGCAGCATCGTACACGTGGTAGAAGTGAAACTTCTAGATAGACTCGTGCCGTTTTCACCAAATTATTTGCCATCAAGAAATCATTTTTTTAAGTTATATACTTTGTGTCGCTAAAATTACGTTTTCCGCCTCGAAATGGGAACAATTGTTTTAAAGCTTTGGATAACGTTTGTTATTGTTCTAATTGACTGAATAGAACTATCCGGATATTTAACTGAGAGTAGGTCTCTTGTTTGACGTAGAGAATTGCCCACTAAAGACCAGCTTATCATGTCAATTTTCTCTTGCAATGTGTAGGACATTATAACTTATAATTTTAAATAAAAGAAATTAATTTATGTTAAAACGCTCGAAATACACACTAGCAAATGCAAAACAAAACTGAATCCTCTCCTACGCCGGCAATCTGCTTACAATGCATCTGGGGAGGGGCGATCGGATTCACTCGGGTTCACTCGTATATCCCTCTTTCTCCTTCTCTCTACGTTATATCTTTTTTCTCTCTCGTGTAACGAAATCTCGGAACGTTACATTTTTTTTAATTCACTCTCCATTCTCGTCAAATATCAGAACGCCACCAAAAGTCAAGACTGGGTATACTTTATTTTTTGCCTTTAACACTAGATATACTCTTAAAAGGCTAAGAGCTAAGTGAACTTTTGATCTAATCTTAAAGCATCTGTACTATCTTATAAAAAATTGTTTTTCCGGGCAGCAAAAGTAGTCACCATAAGTGGTCGTTAATATATTTTGCGACGCTTCGGTTTTCGAACGTCGCCAAATGGATCTTGTAAGGCGAAAAAGGAGGACAGCCGGATGCCGAAAGGCTTATTTATTGCCGCGATGTTCCAGGATTCCCGGATGTGGCTCTCTGCTGTTTTTATTGTCAGTAGTGGTAGTCCATGTTAATATCTTATATTGTAATGCACCACTGTAACGATTAAAATATTTTTTTTACGAAAGTTCCTTAAGAGCACGCTAAGTAAGTAAAATCCAAAGATAATTTCTACTTACATAATTCAAAATTCTATTTTCATAAATTTAAACATTCATACAAACGTAGAGGGGTTGAAAATCTCTACAATAAATGTTTATAAATATAAAGGGTTTTGGCAAATCAGCCCCCTTGTTTTATTATTTACGACTAATTAATGTCCGGGCGCAATGAATGCAGAATTAGGGTTGATTTACACCAAGGAGAGTCCGTCACCTAAGACAATGACGCAATTGTGCGAATGATTTAGGTAGAACCACTTTAAGCTTTGTATTTATAATCGATTTACAATATTTCTATAAATTCAAACTAATTAATTTCAAGTTTTACGATTTCTATAGCATCTAAACTTATAAAACTGTATTGAAAAGCATATGTAGGAGAAATAAATAAAGAAGTTAAATTATTGATTTCAGGACCTTTTAAACCAGAACTTTTATATCGGAAAAAATTAAATTTTCATAATCCCCCAATATATTTTTAATCTTCAACTCTTTTGTACTACATCATTTATTTTTATTTTATTGTAATACTATCTATAAGATTAAGCTCTATAAGCCCCTGATAAAGTTAATGTTCACATTCTTAGTCTTTTGGTGCGTTGCAACGCGTTGTCTAAATTCAAATTTCCAAAAACAAAGTGCTAATTAACGTATTCAGTCTACTGCTACTGTTAGTTACATGAATTGGTATGCAGGACAAATAGTAACATTGGACAATTCATTAAATAATGCACTTAATATTCCAGCTTGTTTTCTCCATTAGCTAAAGTAATGGCATATAAACTTGTACTTTGACTTTGACTGTAATCACCATAAAAATCAGTTTTTTTGTTTGCATGATAATAATATCTTGTCAATCTTGTTAATTTAGTACTACATAACTGTAAAACAGATCAAGATTAAAATAATTAGCCACATTTGTATTAAAGGATTTATGTGACATTTTCATACAATATATTTTACGATTAATTTTTCTTGAGTTTTAAAATTTACGATTGAATACTTTGTTTTACATTTTTGTATTGCGTAGTTTGCAATCCAACTAAAAAGGATATTGAAGTTATTGAATATGCGGGATTTTTAGTTTATGAGTATGAGTATAAGAACGTATGGCAGGTCCCATCGGCCATGCCTTACACTGATCTTCCAGGGTTATTTTACCCCCTTTCGGTTCAATACGTATCCCGCCACTGCACAGCGTTACCAGTGTTTGGTGGATCCGAATTTTCGCCCCGGCAGGTA